ACTGCAAAAAATTACTTGGTATTTTTGTCTTGTTTTCAGTAAAAATATCAAAAAATTTATCATAGCTTTATACAGTGTGATGGAGTTACTTTACACAATTTCACTCATATCTGCAGTGCATTTCAATTAAAAATTTAACCGTTTCATAATTACAGTACAACTGCATTTTTGGAGATGTGAATTAAATATTTGAATTGTAATTGTGATGTTTCAGCGGAGCGGTGAGTGTGTAATTGTGCACTACTTACGCATTCAGGCGGTCTGCAATACTTTGCCACGCTTTTTCTCTTTGCTTTATCACTGTGGCGGTGTTGCCTTTCTTCTTAATTATATCTTTTACCTCCTCGTATGCCTCCATGAGGATTTGTGCTTCCGACGGGGAAAAGTACGCGGCTCTAGTTGCCATGGTAAATCAGTTAATCTGTGATCTGTGGCGGGGTCTATTTGAGTGAGCCGTGAGCGCGCACCTATCCAGGATTGGTTTCACCTGGCTTAATGAATCCGTGTCTGCTCATCCTGGCTTGGTCTTTGTGCAACCAATTAAGCCTGGACGCACATGTTTTGGCTTCATTGAGCTCAGCTGAGTCATTTATCCCGGATGTCTTAATTCTACTTTTGTGCAACAGGCCCCAGGATTGTTGTTCATTTGAGCAATATGAGATGGAAGGGAATTCCATACATCAGGGGTTCCCAAACATTTTCACTCAGGCCCCCCTTCCAGCATTGGGGAACATCCCGCACAGTAATGATGTGCGACAAAAGGTTGTTGAGCTGTACAAATCAGGAAATGGCTATAAGAAAATAGCTCAATGGTTGAAAATGCCCATTTCCAGTATTTATTTTTAGTGATCCAATTTACATTTTAGTCATTTAGCAGACGCTCTTATCCAGAGCGACTTACAATTAGTGAGTGCATACATTTTTCATACTGGCAATAATTAAGAAGTTTAAAGCAACTGGAGATGTTAAGAATCGGCCTGGAAGAGGACGTGTGTCTATATTGACCCCACGCACAGTGAGGAGGATGGTTTGAGTGGCCAAAAAATCTCCAAGGACCACAGCTGGAGAATTGCATATGTTAGTTGGGTCTTGGGGTCAGAAAGTCTCCAAAACTACGATCAGATGCCACCTACATAACCACAAGTTGTTTGGGAGGGTTGCCATAAAAAAGCCTTTGCTGTCATCAAACAACAAACTCAAGCGCCTACAGTTTGCCGAACGTTACTGGAACTTTCAATGGGACCGGGTTCTATGGTCAGATGAGACCAAAATAGAGCTTTTTGGAAACAAACACCAGAGGTTGGTTTGGCGTAGACAGAAAGATAGCCATGCAGAAACGTTCCTCATCCCCACTGTGAAGTATGGTAGTGGATCTTTGATGTTGTGGGGCTGTCTTTCTTCCAAAGGCTCTGGACAACTTGTTAGGATACATGGTATCATGGACTCCATCAAGTACCAGCAGATATTAAATCAAAACCTGACTGCCTCTGCTAGGAAGCATAAACTGGGCCGTGGTTGGATCTTCCAGCAGGACAATGATCCAAAGCACACCTCAAAATCAACACAAAAATGGTTCACTGACCATAGAATCAAGGTTTTGCCATGGCCATCCCAGTCCCCTGACCTAAACCCCATAGAAAACCTGTGGGATGAGCTGAAGAGGAGAGTCCACAAGTGTGGACCTCGGAATCTGAAGGATGTGGAGAGATTCTGTATGGAGGAATGGTCTCAGATCCCTTGCCATGTGTTCTCCAACCTCATTACGCATTATAGGAGAAGACTCAGAGCTGTTATCTTGGCAAAGGGAGGTTGCACAAAGTATTGAATGAAGGGGTGCCAATAATTGTGGCACACATTTATTTGAGAAAAATATTTGTTTTATGATAAGAATGTATTTTTTCTTTCAATTATTTTACTTTAATTAAAGGTTCGATTTTTGTGAATATTTTGAATGAAAGACCAAGAGGATAAACAATAAAGAAACAAAATTCACAGTCCGTTTTGCTCATATTTACGAAGGGTGCCAATATTGTTGGTCCGGCAAAATTAAGGCTGTTATGCAATTTTAAAAACGTTACAATACATTCATAACAGATTTCACAACACACTAAGTGTGTGCCCTCAGGCCCCTACTCCACTACCACATATCTACAACACAAAATCCATGTGTGCGTGTGTGTATAGTGCGTATGTTATCATGTGTGTGTATGCATGTGTCTGTGCATATGTTTGTGTTGCTTCCCAGTCCCCACTGTTCCATAAGGTGTATTTTTATCTGTTTTTTAAATCTGATTCTACTGCTTGCATCAGTTACCTGATGTGGAATAGAGTTCCATGTAGTCATGGCTCTATGTATTACTGTGCGCCTCCCATAGTCTGTTCTGGACTTGGGGACTGTGAAGAGACCTCTGGTGGCATGTCTTGTGGGGTATGCATGGGTGTCTGAGCTGTGTGCTAGTCCGTTTAAACAGACAGCTCGGTGCATTCAACATGTCAATACCTCTCACAAATACAAGTAGTGATGAAGTCAATCTCTCCTCCACTTTGAGACAGGAGAGATTGACATGCATATTATTAATGTTTTGCTGTCTGTGTACATCCAAGGGCCAGCCGTGCTGCCCTGTTCTGAGCCAATTGACCACACGACTGAATAATAGTCCAGGTGTGACAAAACCAGAGCCTGTAGGACCTGCCTTGTTGATAGTGCTGTTAAGAAGGTAGAGCAGCGCTTTATTATGGACAGACTTCTCCCCATCTTAGCTACTGTTGTATCAATATGTTTTGACCATGACAGTTTGAGTTTGCTCTAATTATTTCTCCAATGTTTGTCATTCTCCTCAATGCAACCCTTACCCAAGTACTTAGCTTTAGGAAAGTGTAAATTGTGCTGTCAAGCAGTTTAGTCATCTCAACTTGCTCAATTTCCACATGATTTATTACAAGATTCAGTTGAGGTTTAGGGTTTTAGTGAATGATTTGTCCCAAATACAATGCTTTTAGTTTTTGAAATATTTAGGACTAACTTATTCCTTGCCACCCATTCTGAAACTAACTGCAGCTCTTTGTTAAGAGTTGCAGTCATTTCAGTTGCTGTAGTAGCTGACGTGTATAGTGTTGAGTCATCCGCATACATAGACACACTGGCTTTACTCAAGATTACCCCGTCCATTTGGATAATTACTGCTATGTCCATGCATTCTATGACAATTAACATGTTTTTACAACCAGGCACATATTCTATGTGTAGTAGTAGTAAACATGTCCATACAGTGCATTCGGAAAGTATTCAGACCCCTTGACTTTTTCCACATTTTGTTATGTTACAGCTTTATTCTAAAATTGATTAAATTGTTTTTTTCCCCCTCATCAATCTACACACAATACCCCATAATGACAAAGCAAAAACAGTTTTTGAGAAATGTTTGCAAATGTATAATTTCTTTTTAAAAATCACATTTACATAAGTATTCAGACCCTTAACTCAGTACTTTGTTGAAGCACCTTTGGCAGCGATTACAGCCTCAAGTCTTCTTCGGTATGATGCTACAAGCATGACACACCTGTATTTGGGGAGTTTATCCCATTCTTCTCTGCAGATCCTCTCAAGCTCTGTCAGTTTGGATGGGGAGCGTCACTGCACAGCTATTTTCAGGTCTCTCCAGAGATGTTAGATCGGGTTCAAGTCCGGGCTCTGGCTGGGCCACTCAAGGACATTCAGAGATTTGGAAGGTGAACCTTCACCCCAGTCTGAGGTCCTGAGCGCTCTGGAGCAGGTTTTTCATCAAGGATCTCTCTGTACTTTGCTCCATTCATCTTTCCCCTCGATCCTGACTAGTCTCCCAGTCCCCGCCGCTGATAAACATGCCCACAGCATGATGCTGCCACCACCATGCTTCACCGTACAGCTGGTGCCAGGTTTCCTCCAACGTGACACTTGGCATTCAGGCCAAAGAGTTCAATTTTGGTTTCATCAGACCAGAGAATCTTGTTTCTCATGGTCAGAGTCCTTTAGGTGCCTTTTGGCAAACTCCAAGCGGGCTGTCATGTGCCTTTTACTGAGGAGTGGCTTCCGTCTGGCCACTCTACCATAAAGGCCTGATTGGTGGAGTGCTGCAGAGATGGTTGTACTTCTGGAAGGTTCTCCCATCTCCACAGAGGAACTCTGGAGCTCTGTCAGAGTGACTATCGGGTTCTTGGTCACCTTCTCCCCCCGATTGCTCAGTTTGGCCGGGCGGCCAGCTCTAGGAAGAGTCTTGGTGGTTCCAATCTTCTTCCATTTAAGAATGATGGAGGCCACTGTGTTCTTGGGGACCTTCAATGCTGCAGACATTTTTTGGTACCCTTCCCCAGATCTGTGCCTCGACACAATCCTGTCTCGGAGCTCTACGGACAATTCCTTCGACCTCATGGCTTGGTTTTTGCTCTGACATGCACTGTCAACTGTGGGACCTTATATAAACAGGTGTGTCCTTTCCAAATCATGTCCAATCAATTGAATGTACCACAGGTGGACTCCAATGAAGTTGTAGAAACATCTCAAGGATGATCAATGGAAACAGGATGCACCTGAGCTCAATTCCGGGTCTGAATACTTATGTAAATAATTTTTTTTGCCAAAACTTCTAAAAACCTCTTTTCACTTTGTCATTATGGGGTATTGTGTGTAGATTGATGAAGAATATTTTTTCTTTAATCAATTTTAGAATAAGGCTGTAACATAACAAAATGTGGAAAAAGGGAAAGAGTCTGAATTCTTTAAGAATGTCACTCTCACAATTAACTCCATGACATTTGCTATGAAGGATGTTGATGAAGTTACACTTTAACGCGTTTTGATTGGCTCTCTATAGCAGGGACTGCCCTTTTATTTCGGTTATGAGGGAATGTTGGCATCAGATCAGGCTCACAAGCTAAAAAGAGAAAAATATAGACTTTAATCACTCATTTAATTACAAAAACACTGTTCTAAGCCCTTCTGTGATATAACTCTGAGCCCACACTTACGTAAAGGTTTCTCCTTTAAGTAGGAAACTCTCCAAGCAGTCCTTAGCTGTGGCCCTGACAGAGACAACAAGAAACACTTGTGAGCCTTGCAGGAGTGAAAGGAAGTATAAATGTCTTCATTTAAGGTTTCTGTGTATACCATATTGAAGGAGAGTGTAAATATGTGAATGACAGAATGTGTAGAACTGTGTGTGGGTGTCTTCATGAAGGTATAATGCTTTGCAGGTTTGTTATTTGGTAGTTACCTGTGTAGGGGATTGTACATGAAGAGTAGGTTGAGTAAACACAGCCCTGCATCAGACAACCAGGTGAACTCATTCTTCAGATTGTTGTATGGTTTTTTCCTCAAACTATACTGTCCAACTAGGGGAAGACAAGTGAAGCCCTACTATCATTTATTGTTGTATAGTGTAAAGTTAATCAACCTTTAGCAAATCCACACATTAAACGGGTAAAATATAGTGTGTAAAATCTTAAAATAGGGAGCTCAATGATTCTCTAGGAGAGAGACATTACCGTCCAGATGTTCTCATTAGGGGTACCCAGCAGTTGCACTATGAGATCCACCTGTTGGATCTCAGAGCTCCCTGGCAGCAGAGGTTTATGGGCAAGCAGCTCAGTCACGATGCAGCCCACTGCCCTGGAGAAACATGAGTTACAGTATGGTCATACAGATGGTATGATAATAAACATTGGTGACTGTGCCATGAAAATACTCTCTGGAGGGGGGATGGGGAATTCTCCAGCTAGAACAGAGACGATCCTACTTAGAAGAGAAGTCCACTAACTGAATGGAGACAATGACATATAACATTGAGAACTCTCTGTACATTAGAGCTTTGGAAGAGAGGGAGCTCTGTGATAATGACAAAACTCTGGACAGGTTTAAGAGGATCTATGACATCAGTGTATCTTATGTGTACACTGAGTGTACAAAACATTAGGAACTGCTCTTTCCATCAAATCAAATTTTTATTTGTCACATGCGCTGAATACAACAGGTGTAGACCTTACCGGGGAAATTCTTACTTACAAGCCCTTAACCAACAATGCAGTTCAATAAATAGAGTTAAGAAAATATTTGCTAAATAAAATAAAGTAAAAAATAAAATAAAAAGTAACACAATAAGATTACTGTAGAAAAGGCCCATGGAGTTGGTGGAATCGCCCTTTAATTCATGGCCACTTGCGCAGCTGGGCCAGTGCGCTTTAATTAGGTCAGTTGGAAATATCCGACAGATCTCAAATCATTAAAAGGAGGAAATCGCCACCGCCCGACCTCCTGCTTTCTCTTCCCCAACTCCGTCTAATCCAGACATTCTGTGCGTCCACGAATCAACGTAAATCCACCGAATCTGTTATCTTTCATCTGAACTATCTGTTGAGATGAGGATATTGCTTCTGTAGAACACTCACTGGGTAGGAGTGCTCTGCAAGATTCAGGCCATCTGCCGTGAAGGTGTGCGTTTCACCTTCAGGACAGAGGGACGTGGCCTACAACATCACCAATGCCTTCACGGCAGATGGCCTGAATCTCGCAGAGCACTCCTGCCCGGTGAGTGTTCTACAGAAGCAATATCCTCATCTCAGAGGACTGCCTCTTCCCAACATGGCCAGGGTTGCGCCACTCATCCTGATCGGGTCAGACCACCCACACCTCGTCACCCCAACCGAGCTTATACGAGCTGGACCAGAAGGAGGGCCCATTGCTGTCCATACATCCTTGGGTTGGGCTGTGTAGGGTCCAGCCCATCTACTTCTCTCCATCCAAGCTGTACAGTCACAGCAAGTCCTCTTTACCGGAAGCTGTCCAGCTCCATCACCCTGTCCAGTCACTGACCTCCTTCGGAATGTGGAGGTGCTCTGGAAGATGGGCAACTTCTCCAACCGGAAGCTATAGGAGGTCACCCGCTCGAAAACATGACACCTATTCATTAGACCTCCTGGAGAAGCACACCACCACCACTGAAATGGATGGCGTTCAGAGGTACACAACCCCACTGCTACGGGTGCTCAACCATCCTCCTCTGGTAACCACAACACGGGCTGTACTCCCACTACTCCGCAGAATGGAGCGGCGACTGGTGAAGAGTCCTGAGCTTGCTGAAGTTCATAACCAAGAGATTCATAACCTTGTGAAGTGGAGACATCAAAGCCGTTTCATCAGATTCGTCTGCTGCCTTCCGACACCACACTGCTCCGGTTTCATATGGCGAGATCGGAACGAGACGCAGAGCCCACAATCTATGAATGGCAAGTACTCCCATTTGGCACCACATGCAGTCCTTGCTGTGCCATATACGCTCTGCAGAGACACGCCTGGGAGCACCCAGACAGTGACCCAGAAGTCTGGGATTCAGTGGAGAATGCCTTCGGTGTGGATAACTGCTTACAAAGCGTCCCATCCACTACTGAAGCGAAAGCACTCCTCGACAAAGTCCGGAATCTCCTGTCCAAAGGGGGATTCGAGGTCAGAGAGTGGGCGAGCAACACAGCAGAGGTTATCCAGCACCTCCCGCCACAAGCCAGGTCAAGTAGCAGTGAACTATGGCTGTTGCAGCCTGGCTCTAACCCACAAGAGCCCACGCTAGGACTGAGATGGAGCTGCATACCAGATACCTTGGGGTACAAGCACAGCTCAGCCCTGAGCACCGAAACCCCCACTCTGCGCACCATCTATTGGACCCTGGCCAGTCAATATGATCCCCTCGGGTATATCCTGCCATACACAACCCGGACCAAAGTCTTAGTCCAGGACCTGTGGCAGACCAAGAGGGACTGGGATGAACCAATCCATCCAGCTGACCTAGTAGAACGATGGATCTGTTGGGAAACAGAGTTGTCGGAGCTCTCCAAAGTCCAGATGCAGAGGTGTTATGTGCCACTCTGTGCTGACCAACTGGGATCAAGCCGGGAACTTCATGTGTTTCTGTGACGCTTCAGAGCGGGCTTATGGAGCAGTTTCCTTTCTCAGAGTGGAGGATGAGGCAGGCCACACCCATGTCTCCTTTGTCATTGCCAGGTCTAGGGTCACACCCAAGAAGCAGTTGTCAATGCCTAGGCTGTAACTCAGCACTGCCCTTTCTGGAGCCCAGTTGGCCTCCACCTTGCGAGCCGAGCTGACCTTGTCAATCCAAAGGGTCATCTACTGGAGTGATAGGACCACTGTACTGACCTGGCTCAAGTCGGAGTCCTGCAGGTATAAGGTGTTCGTCGCATTGCGCAAGTCCAAGACCTAACGGAAGTCAATGACTGGAGGTATGTTGACAGCGTCAACAATCCTGCTGATGACATCACTCGTGGTAAAACTCTTAAGGAACTGGCTCAACCCCATCGCTGGAGCTTGGGACCACCATTCTTGTCCCAACCAGAGAACGAGTGGCCGACAGCCCCCGGGCCTGCGGCCCCTCCGCAACCAATTGAAGCTCATGAGTTAAGATCACCCGGAGAACGGCATCCCCCCGAATTGCAATGGCCGCTCTGACTTCTTCGTTTTTCCCCCAGTATATATAATCTCCCCAAGATGTGGGTGGCTCCCTCTACTGTCCAATCCCCTGTCTACAACACACTTCCTGTCTGTTGTATGTGGCGTTACACTAAAACATTCCCTCTTGATACTAAAATCAACATTCTTTCAGTTCCACTTAAAAACATTTAACAAAGGCATAATCCTAATACACGACATTTCCCCCCTTCGAGACTAACTAAAAGTCTCGAAAACAAACGAATAGGATTATGACCAGTAACAATTTATCTTATTGAGTATCTTTAACCTTAAACCAAAAACATTCTCCTCTAGAGTGTAAATACCTTCTATGAATATGAATCCCTGTTTATGAAGTGTGAATACATTACTATGAAATATGAACAAATCTTTATGGAGTGTGAAGCGAAAAACGTCCGGAACCGTTCCAAATCCTCCATAAATCAAGACATAAAATTCTCTCACGGTCCCTCTGCCCCAGGGAACCACCTGGTACTCCCGATAAACCTAAACATGTAAATGATTGAAACTATGAGGAATTAAATACACAGAAGGCCCCTAAAACAAATCCTATCCAAAAAATGTCCACTCTCGGCTGGCAACCCATTGGACCCTACTGGACCCCCCTGCCTAGACTCCCGCCCCCAGATAAACGAAAAAAAAAAACTTAAAGACCCCCAAATTTACCAATAACATCAAACTTTTCTAAAAAAAATTAAGCCAAAGAATTGACACAATTATGTTTTACAAAAATATTCTATTTTCATTACAACACTGGAATGTATCCCATTTAACTTCATTTTATTTAAAGCCCCCCCCCGGGAATTTTCCATATTTTTTATATGGGGGGGCCTTTCCCCCCCCCCCCCTTTCCCCCCCCCCCCCCCCCCTTTTTATTCCCCTTCAATTGTCCTTGTTTGAGATTTAAATCTCCACATTTCCCAAAAATTTTCTGGAAGAAAAGAAAAGACCAAACAGTATTTTGAAAAACAACCTTTAAAATTAAAAAATATCAACTAAGAATTAAAAATTATATTAAAAATGATTTGAATAAATTAAAAAGATAGAAAGAACGGGGAAAAATATTCTTTTCTACACTTCCCCCTTTGATTCTAAAACTATAAATACCTAATATTAAAAAAAAAAAAATTTTTTTTAATGTCAAATAAAAAAAGGGATTTTTTTCCCTTTAGTACTCCCCCCAGCCCCCCCTTGTCCATCTTCTCCAGATCAGGAACAGTCAAAAAAGGCACTAGGGCCAAGGCACACCCCACCACCATAAATTTTTTTCCAAGGTTAACAAATTAAAAACATCACACCCGTGCTATCCCCCCTGTTTTTTTAAAATGTAACCACACTGCCCCCGGGGCCTAACGTCTTGAACCCAAATCCTCGCTGCCCATCCAGCTCTTCGATCTCCAATTTCATCCCTTAATTTTTCTGATTTTAAAACCCCTGGGAAAATATTGAACTATTGGACTCAAATTAACTAACTTTATCAATATGATCTTCCCAAAATGTTACCCAACCAGGAAAAAGCCCCCCTTCTCTTTTTGGACTCATCCTCAATGATAGGCTTGAAGACTATGAAATTCCCCTTCCTTTCCCCCTTTTTTAAAAATCTAGTTTAGTTTGATCTGTGTTCGGTGCTCCCCCCTCTTTTAAATAGTAAAAGCCCATATGGAACTTAAACCCCGGGACTTAACAACATCCTGCCCATCCATAGGGTAAAAATTTAAAATTTTTATCACCAAAACCCTCAAAAATTTTAAAAATTCCCCCTAGTCCCCTTGCCAGGCAAAACTAACTTTTTAAAATCAAAGTCCTGCTGTTTTCCCATTCCTGGAAAAAAAAGTAACATTATATTTTTCATTTCTACCCTTTAAAGGGCTGCTTTTCCAAATTATCATTCTCATACAATCTAATTCCCCCTAAAAAAAAAAACCCTTTCATATAGTTTTTTTAGAACAAAAAAAAAACCTTTTAGCCCCACGCTTTACCCCCAATGTTTTAGGGTTTTTGTTACCTGTTTTTCTTTCCCCTTTAAAATTCCCATGGGTAATTATTTAACCAAAACATCTAAACCCAGGCTTAAACAAAGTTTGGGAAAAGACTTATTTATTGTTTTGATTGTTGCTGAAAATGCTATGACAAACATAAGATTTACACTACTTTATAGAGGGCGAGCGACCGTCCTAAATTTTGACGGAAATTTTCCCAAAAAGGACCTAAGTCCCCACTGATCTTACAGAAGAGGGTGCTGGAACCCAAAAATTCCTACCTGCTATCTTTAATTTTTTACAACAGAAGAACAAAAACCCTATTTTTTTCTTTTTCCCTAACGGCGGTACGATCAATTCCCTCCTTGCGCATTTAAAAAAAAGACCTCTCCTTACCTCCAGATAGTATCCTTCATATTTCAATGTTATATTCTCCTACCATATCTGCTCTTTTTTTATCCCTATTACTAGTTGTTGTTGTGTCTGGTTGGTCTACAAACCCTTTCCAAAGTTTCCATTAAAATATTGATTTAGTTTAGTATTAACCTTATTATTTTTAGTGGGAAAGCTACCCAATCATGTTATTATTTACTGTTGGGGACACGTAATAATATACTTCTCCTGACCCCCTTTGGGGGGACTGGGAAAATTTAACAGATTCAAAACTTTCCCTTTTAAGCGTCACTTTACGAATTACAGCCCTTTAAAACCAATAATTTTTAAACCCGGGAAAAAATTTTAATGTTGCACTAATAAATACACATTTCTCCCTTTTTTCTCGTAACAACGCAAAATAATGAAAAACCCCTCATAAACCCCTTCCACTCATATCGTTTTACAAACAACCCCCTTTGATTAGTGCAACACTTCACACTGGGCCTGATAACAATTTCTTTTTCTCCATAATTATCCTCCATGTGGGAGACTCCCACCTAACCCAAAAAACCCCTCTTTTCCTCTAAAATTGGTGCTGGGGGTTTTGGTTCCCTTTTAATCCAAAAGCGAATATGTATGGCTTTATAAATTCATGTTGAAAGGTTAAATTGCTTTTCCCCCTGTTGTTATATAGACGAAGTTAATTCATTATTGTTTTTTTCATCCATTTTCCCCCAAAACTTTGAACCCTTTTTTTTTCCTCTATCACCCTATGTCAAAAGACAAATTAAATTACTTCACTCTCTCTTCCACTCTAAACCCTAATTCAACCTTTTTTTTAAAAATAACCACAATTACCTTGATCTTCCTACTCTAAAGTGTCCCTTCACCACTGTTCTCTCTCTTACTACAACTTTTAAACTAACGGGAGAGCCCAACCAGCCCAACTTTTTTAAAACATCCCCCCACCAAAAACCTTTTCCACTGATTTTTTCACAAAATCCCTTACCACCAATTTTTAGAATGGTGATTGGGGGAAAAATTCCCACATGCTTCTGACTTCACACACAACTTGG